AATTTATTTGCGTACAATTACTTTTTGAAATCTCATTTACTTTAGTATTCGGATGGCCAGCGTGACTTTATAAGTAGTTATGTATACGTCGCGTCTGTCCCACTTATACGTGATACTTTGCTTAGGCGCAACGCGTCTGTAACTACTTCCAGCGCAGCAATCACATCACATATTCAATAAATACTATTAAAAAAAAATAATCTTATTATTTATGGGTAGATTCAACAAATTTTTTTTTTCAATTTTCATCTTTACAAAACTTTTAATATTTCTATAAATAATAACAAGGAAAGTAAAAATATGTATCCGAGATATAGACATTTTCTTATATACTTTATTATGGCAAAGATATATTTTATTTCATTATACTGTAATATATTCTAATATATACTTTGTGTTTATATTGTATTATATTACACATTAATTTGTAAAACATAAATGTAATTTTTTAAAATGATATCTGTACTTCATTTACACATCACTCGCCTTCAATCTTTTCCTGTAAAGATCCTTTTATTTAAAATTTAAATTTTCGATCCTCTGATGTGTCGTTGACTTGTACTACTTTAATGAAAATTTTGTATTCCAGTAGTACAAGCCACTGACAAGTCAGACAATCGAAAAATTAAAATTTCTTAAACTGGTAAGATCTTTATAAGAAAAGATTGAAGATGGAGAGCTTAAATAAAGTATATAGATTATATTTCAATATTACATTTACTTTTGGAATTATAATGCAAAATATTATATAATACATAATATACAATATAATAGAATATTGCAGTATAAAGCGATGTAAAAATACAATATATTACAATACACTATGATGACAGTAAGGAAACAATTGCAAGTGTCCCTTATCGCGCTTTTTTGGTATGTTATCGAACAGCTGAAAATAAGGGACACGTGCTTTTTTCCACATGCTTTGTGCGACATGCCATAGACATATGCCACGTTCATACAAAGTACCGTATACAAGTGGGACAGATGCAACGCGTACTTATACACGTACTTATAGCGCGTATAGATGAGAGACACTTTCAAACGTTTCTTTGTGCGTATTCATGGGACGCGTTATGTGTGTTTGAAATAAATGCGCGTATGACGGATAATAAATTAGATACAATGGAAGAAGGAGAAAGGACTGGGTACAAGATGAGAAATAAAAAAGAGCGAGAGGAAAAGTTGCGAGGGAGAGAAAATGTATATAATGCAAGAGAGTATGAATGGAAAAGTGAGGTAATAATAAAAGAATAAAATGCACCATTATATTCCGACTTCGCGATCGGATACAGGGAGGTCGGGAAAGGGAAAGAGAGTGACAGAGGGAGACGCGAGAGATACATGTATTTATATGCTATTCGCAGAGGATTTCTTCAAATCTACAGCCGCTCCACAAAGCACAAACGTGCCGTTTGAAAGAAAGCCATCGACTCAGCATAAAATAACATAATCCGTAGGCAACGCGACTGAAGATTTCATAGTAGACGCTCCAAGTAAGAGAGTAAAATAAAATAAAAATGAGATAAACAAAGGTAAAGCGAAGCGAGGCGAGAGGGAAGAAAGGGAGGGAGCGAGGGGGAGAAGAAAACGAAAGACAGACAGAGATATGAAGTGAGGGCGAGAGAGAGAGAGAGAGAGAGAGAGAGAGAGAAAGAGCGCCGTCCGTTCTTTTCGCGTTCACCGAGAGGGAGAAAGAGGGAAAGATACGGAGACGTTGAAGGGGGAATGAAAAAAAACGGCTTATAAATGAATACAGAGGGACGTTTGGAGAGTAGAAGCTCGGCTGTGCCATCTCGCGAACGTACGTACATATTTGGCGGAAGACGGCAGCCAGGTGCAACGGACCTATTGACGTGTTAATTGCGCCTGAATAATTAAAGGGGACACCTCTCGTGGCAGCGCGCGCGCGCGATGCTCTGTCCTTTTATAAAATGTCCCCCCGATCTCGTTAACCCGCTTCAGGGAGGATGGACGACGACGACGGACTGACGCAAGAGAGACGAGTGAAAACGCGAAGGGAACGAACAAAGATGGTAGATTGTTGGCGTCACAGTGTGAAATCGAGAAATATAAAGCAAGTGGAACCGATTTGATTGGTGGCACGATAGAGACGAGAGAGAGAGAGAGAGAGAGAGCTCCGGGTTGGCGCGATTAGTATGTCTATAACGAAAATAAAGCGGTACCGAAATACGAGGAGAGCGACCGGTTTGGCGCCGTTTAGTGCGGCGAATGTCGAGTGGGCGATTTATTGAAGCGATTTATTGGCTGTCGTATGTAGTTTTCGGGACTCGGGGGGATGGGAGGTGGCGGGGTCGCGCGATGGATTTTCTTGTTTCTTTTTCATTTCGCGCGCCCGCGCGACGTGTGTAATTAGCGATCTTTTTCGAGTGCGACGCGCGATGACGTGGCCGACAGTTTCGCGTTAATCGTTAATCGTCTTAACTGTTGCAGAGGTCGATGTGTTCCGCCATTCCCGAATTATCCGCGAAAGCTGTTTCGACTCGAGGGTACCGTCGATCACCGAGTGAGCAACCAGCCAGGCAGCCGGTCGGCCGTTCAGGTCGTTCGTTCCTTCATTTGTTCACTCGTTTGTTTCTTCAAGCACACTTTTGCACCGCTTGAAAAAATTATAAGAGGGTATAGAATGGTCAGTTATAAGTTATAAAAGAGACAACGAACTAAATCTATGAGAATAATTTATGGTGCCGGACTCGGGCCGGAATACCGGATTAGTTTGAAGAGATTAGTCGGAAAGGAAGTGTAAAGACCAACGCCATGAATTATGAAGAATTACAGCATCGATTCTCGGCTTATATTTATCTACCGGCTCAACCACGCGCGGCACCGATATAATATTCTTACGAATTCATGATTCCGAAAAATCGATCACCCCGCAAAGGGGCACGCCATCTCGTCTCTTGACGAGATAACGTACAAAGACAAGAGAATAGATCCCGCCGCTACACACACCAAGAGAGCGCGCGGGTGCGACGAGGCCGCGATTTATCGCGACTTTCGGCCGTTCCTCCCTCCCCGTAATATTCGCGCTCGTATGGTTTCCGCCGAGCTACGCCGAGAGCTTTCTCTCTCTTTCTCTCTGCGACCGTTATCGCCGCGTTATCCCTTCGGAAGCATAACGCGATCCGCGATACTCTCTCATAAGGGACTCGAACGAAAGGCGGTTACGTATGTGCCGTTAACGACGTCCGGCCGACTCGGACTTCATATACTTGTGGGCGATCGGAAACGAGGAAAATGCTCAAGCCGTGGCCTGAATAATTGACGATTTAGCCGTGTATCGGCGGAAGGGCAGCGGAGCCGAGTTAAGGGGGTGGGGCTGGAAGGGAAGGATTGCCGGTGATCGTAAGAATATCTAACCTCGACGCGAGTCCGCTGTATTATTCAGCGGCTGTCATCCCCGCGTCTCGGGGGCGAAGCGCGCCGCGCTGCCAGAAAGCTCGAAAGCTCGATCGCGAGCGCTTATTCCCGATCGTAAACCGCAACGCTTTATTCCCCTCGATTCGCCTGATCTTCTTTTTCTTTGATAACCGGACGCGCGCATGCACACATACACAAATCACGCGCGCGTGTGTATACATGTATACAATATATGTGTGTATATGTATAAACACACACGATGCGGTATACGCGATGCGTCACGTGCCGCGGCTCTCAACTATAGACCCGATGCAATCTTAATGCGATCAATTATTTACGGCGCTCGTCATCGGCCATTAAATATTCCACGCCCGACGAAAGAGTCCTTACGCGACCCCGGAATTATTCCGGGCCCCGAATACTATTCGCGAACAGTCGGCGAAGCGCGCAAGGTACCTACTTGCGCCGCTATTTTCGAAGGCATCCTAATGGCGTTAGACGGGAACGAGCTCCCCCGCGGGAGAGACATCTGTCGCCGGGAGAGGAGAAAAGATTTCGCACCGTGCTCGCGCGGATCGATTTCACGGGAAAATGCGGAAAAAAAGATTTGCCGTTGCGGCGAAAAATCTTGGCTTATGAAATCTTGGCTCACCAGTTGCCGATGTTGCGATAACTCAATCTACAGAGCTACATTAGATTAATGATTAATATACACATTCTGATACACATACGTAGTTGAATTGAATGTCACTTAAGCAACATATTTCTTTATTGTTTCTCGAATAAGCACGATTTCCTTCGAGTAAAATTAACAAGTCTGTTTCGCAAACTTAAATTGACTCGAAGTATAAAGTGTTTTGTTGTACTTAGAGAAAAGTAGGGTGATGGCGATTATATAAGCGACTGTACGAATTTTGTATGTAGAATTGTAATATACATAATTTAATTAATTATTTTATAATTTTTGCAATCGAACTCAATTCCACTTACAAAATTCGTATTGTTGTCACCTACGTAGTTGCCATCATCGTATCTTTTCCAAATATGCAGTAAACAAAATAATATTTACAAAAATAAGTTGCTCTGTGAACAATTATTTCCGCACATGATCTCTCTGATACGCACAACTTGTTGACAAGCAAACTTGTTTAGCCACAACATTCAATTTTGTCGAGCAAATTGCAGATTTGCTGAATCACCAATCAATTTTTTCCCCATGAAAGATCGATAATCGCGACATGGGAGCAGCATCGTCGTCGCCGATGAGACGGAGAGACACGCCGTCGTGTATGTTGGCTAATGATAAGATTAAGGATTTTACGGCGACCGTTAATTTCGTCATTACGTGAGACTTACGGGCGACTCTCGCGGTGTTACCCGGGCCCGTTCGCGAGGTCTGCCACCCGTTCTCCTTCTTTCGCGGCCGGCAACGGGTGAAATGTGGCTTAGCGCGTTATCGCCCGGAGCCCTTCGATTAATCGAGCTCAGTTCGCGAACTCTTTTATGTATAGCCGCGTTACCGGGTATTTATCGTCCGCCGCGCGTAATTGAACGCGTAATTATACGTCGGTCGAGACTCGCGCGAAACTTCGTTTCTGCAATCTTCTAAATGTACCCGAATGGATCCGCGCGATGCCGACGGTGTCGACGACTACGACGACGACGAGGAGGACGTGGACGAGGACGGGCTCTATAAATATAAGTAGTTACTCATCGACGTTGCGATAGTCCATTTTTGCAATCTCCTAAATGTATTTAAATGGATCTACGATAGTGCGCGCGCGCGCGCGACTGATCGCATCGCTCCCTATAAATACAGGCCGTTACCCGTGTTCCTTTTTCTCTCGGCAAACAACGCGATCGATCGCGCTCCCTGCAAGTCATGAATCATCCTTAACGAATGAGTGTTATAATGGAATATTTTGCATTATATCGCGGTGTATACGACCGCCGAGAAAGTTGGAGCTTACAAAAAGCGCCTATGAGTAATAGTACCGTTCTGAGAAAAACAGGCTTGAAAGTTTGATAAGATCTTCGCGTCTTATAAGGAGGACATCGTGCTGCAAACGCGCACGCGGAAGTATAATTTGAGAAATGGCTCTTTGGGAACAAAGTTGAAGGTAAAAGGTGAAAAATAGAATCGTGCGAACGTAATGCTCGCGCGCGCGAGCTATCCCTTTTTTTCGAACGTGTCCGTGTATATTCATGTACGTGTTCCTCTTTCTCTCTGATATGGAACATTTCACCTCCGTCGGATGAAATTCTAATGATGAGTTTGCGAATCGTCTCTTCGCTGGGAAACTTTCGCAAGCGATAGCCTCTAAGCGTCTTACTCTCTCTCTCTCGATCGCTGACGATGGAGTCCCGATGGTCGTAAAGACGACACGCGCGCGAAATCGTCGACCCGGCCGCGAGACAAAGGTGAACACACGCCAATCAAGCACATGCGAGGGACTGCTGCCGATCGAGTTCTTCGCCGCGATCGATCGTCCACGTCGTCGCTCTCTCGCTCCTCTTTGGCCACGACGGTGGACGTCGTGGCTCCCTTCCTTCCGGCTGTAGCCGGAGGGAAGCGGGACACTGAACCGGGGGGTTGATATAAACTGTGATTGATATTTAGTCGCGCCACACGGCACTTAAGAGGATTAAGGACCATCCAGGACGAGTATCGGCCGGGAACAGCCGTGACCCCGAGCACGTGCATCCGGGACACGCAACGATCTCGACCGGGCCGAACGTGGGACGGTAGATAGGTAGCTAGGTAGCTAGGTAGGTAGGTAGGTAGGTAGGTAGGTAGGTAGGTGGGTGGGTAGGTAGATAGACACGTAGTGGTGGAGACGTTCCAGGTCGATCCAGCAGCGCCAAGGATTCCCATCCTGTCGGACGCGAAACCGGCGCGCTACAACACGCCGCAACTCTGATTACAGTTAGCTCGGTCCGCTGGCCTAAACCCCCATATAACGCGCATCGCGCGGTCGTCGGGGACTAACCCGACGACCGACCACCACCGCGCCGGGCGCGACATCCAGCCCCGACCATGATTATCCCGGACCGCGTCTTACCGCATCCTAATCCCGAGAATGCTCATATCGGAAGGCGATCGAACACCGGATCGCTTCCGACGTTGTTGTTGCCTCGCCATCGTCGTCGTCGTCGTCGTCGTCGTCGTCGTCGTCATCGTTGTCGTCGTCGTCGTCGTCGTTGTTGTTGTTATTGTTGTCGTCATTGTGTTATCGTACACGCCGTATCGGTGTTATATTTTTCGATCTCTTTCTCTCTTCTTGTTTTTCTTTTAAATAATGTGAGCATATCGTGAGGAAATATTGACGGAATAAATGAATCGACTCGCATGATTCTAGCGCTGCGTCTCGCGCATCCTTTCATACAGAACTTACATAGAAAAGGGGATGTTAAAAATAGACAATTTTAACCCATTGGCGGAATCTTAACTAATCATTGGAAACTGTTCCTTTTAGAAAGAAACCTTCTAGAAATAGAAAATAAGAATTATTTATCCACTAGGTTTGAGGAAAGTTACGAAAATCGAGATTTATTATTGATTGTTGAAATGGTCATATAAGATAGTCAAGTGTCTTTTTAAGCTTTGCACCCTTGATGTTTTAAAGTAAAATGAATTGCACATATTGAAGGGTGAATATTTCTCTGGATCTACAGCGGACAAATAATTTTTGATTTTCTGTTTCTAGAAGATTCCAAAAGTAATTTCCAATGATTAGTTAAGATTCCGCCAATGAGTCAAAAATAGCTTATTTTTAACATTCTTCTTTCTCGTAGGTTTCAGTTGGGATTCAATCTGATTGACAAAAAAAGACAAACATGGACTCTACTTGTGGAAAATTTACGTGGATCCAGGTTAGAAGTGTTTCAAATAAGTGGTTTCAAGCGGGAAATCCAAACAGATACCATTTGATCAACAAAACGTTTGCCGAGAGACTTTTCCAGTCTTCCATATTAGAATGGAACAAAGCGCATGGAACGCTTAGGGCATCGAAGCCAGTTCTAAATAAAGTCGTGATAAACACGGGAGTGTTAAAATCTCGCGGGACGATTAAAGAACACCCGTGGGGGACGGCTGCGCGCCAAGCACGTGGCTTAATATACGGGGAATGATCATTCCTTGATGAAACGTTGATTGGGCTATTGGTAGTCGCGTTGCCACGAGTTTAGCCGCACGTTATTCGAGAAGGAATATTTTTATTTTTTATTATTGCGCCGGGGGAGCACGATATACGACGAGTCGCAAGTAGGATGTGTATTTCGGTGGCGCAATTACGTCTGCACGGGCCACCAATGTGTGTTTGGCGGCCGATTAATATCTCCCTCGTTTCCAGAGATAGCTTGCTGATCCAACTGACTCGTTATGAACGATTCAAGGCGGCTCCACGCGACAGATCGCCGTGCAGATCACCGAATTGTTACCCGTATCGAATTAAAAACGAAACGTCGGAAAAAAGGACACACACCGCACACGAGTTCGAAACGAGCCGGCTATTTTTCGAGATATACATTGGGAATAAGGGGGACAGCGGAGGCGGAGGACTGAATTTTTAACTACGCGTTATTACTTTTCCAGGTGACAGCCGCGGAAATAGACGGAACGCGTCGTCGGAGATGCGAGTCATATTGATAAATTTTCACGTACACATGTCGCGTCTTTTGTTTTTCCCCCTTTTTTTCAACAAATGTTCAACACACGAATATTTTTTATGATGCGACCATTCAACAGTTTACCTCTCTGCACATTTATTTAATCATACACGTGATTGAATAAAGAATGAAATTCGACATCTACACTTACTGTTTTTCGCGAGAATCTTAATTTACAGTCTCTCGATTTTTAATTGCTCATAATTGAAAAACCAATTGTACCTCGACACAATCTCTCTCTCTCTCTCTCTCTATATATATCCATTCTAACATTCTCTCGAAACATACCATAGACAGCATAGCGCGGGAGCTCGGCAGACTGCCGCCCCCGGAACCGTATTAGAAGCGGCCCGATGCATTAGTGATAACCGTTATCTATTCCGGACGTCACCGGCGGCCGAAAATAGCGATAATCGAAGAAAACGGAGAAAGAGAGAGGAAGCGAGAGCAATACGGCGCAGAGATGTGTGTGTGTACGTGTACAGAGAGAGAGAGAGAGAGAGAGAGAAGGAGAGATGCAGCGAAATCCCTCTCGTCGTCGTCCTCGTAGTCGTAGTCGTGGTCGTCGTCGCGGGTGCGACAAGGAGAGAGGAAGGGTCGCTCGCTAGTAATGTCGGGGCAGGCTCGTCGAGGTGCGAGAAAGGAAGCGTCGTTTCCGCATCGCGATTCCGCCCCGTCATTGGCTCCGATTCCGTGCTAACGTTAAACGCGCGGCGGCCACGAGCGGCGAGCGCGCGAGAGAGAAAGATGAGGGAGGGGGGTGAAGGGGGAGAGAGAAAGCGAGAACGAGCGGAGGTGCACACAGGATTGCGGGGGTGTCGGCGGGAGACGAGAGGGGATGATTTTAGGGATGGCCGCTGCCCCGTACACCGTGCCCCGTACCCCGCCTCATCGATAATATACGATCGTGCATGATTCTGCTTCGTGTATCACAATGGCCCTCCGGGCAAGCCCGTTCCACCTCTATCTACGTACCTGGCGCGCCGAACTACCGGCGCCCGAGTCCGCGGTGGATAATGAGTGATTAGGTAATTAGTTGTCCAATATTCGCCCCATCCGCCCGTTCCTTCCTCCCTTCTTCCCCCGCCCCCGCCGTCGCCGACGCCGCTCCCCACCTCTTCTCTCCTCTTCTCTCGGTCTCTCGTCTATCCGCGATCTTCCCCGGCACCGTGGTGCACCAACGCCGGCTACGTACTCTCCTGCTACTGTTTGACCGGATACGTTGACCGGACTAGTGCGAGCGAGTAAGTGCGCGTATGTGCGCCTCGTGTCGCGAGATAACGCGCAAACGGAGGCTTGCCTCCACGTGCTCGCGAGAACGATTGCGTCGAGCGTTCGCCGGACAAACCACGGATTGGAGACAGAAAAAGGGAGAGCTTCCCTACTTTTCTACCGAGCACTCGCTCTCTACTCTCTTAAAGTGAATCAGCAAAACAAGTTATTTCGCCGATGATCAATGAGTATTCACTGATTTTCGGTGAAAACACACCCACTTTGCTGCTTCGTATTATGTCTCGCTGATTTTGATCAGTGGAAGTCAGACTTCGCTGCAAAATCTGTGATACACAAATTTGATGTATGCTGTTTAACTTTCTGCGTTTGTGATTATGAAATTAACGGCTCCCATGCGCCTTGCGTGTGCAATGACACTGTCTGTGCTCGCAGAGTGCATCAATAACGGGAATAGTCGCTACTATTAACTGATCCCTCCAACGAGATTTTACTGATTACAATGCTATATTTACGACTGAACCACCAGTTATAAGTACAGCATTTCAGTGAAGAATACACTGATTGTGCTTTAGAGAGTAAATTTCTTGGAGTAATATTTCCCCTGCCCTCTTCCCTCATCCGAGAAAGTAGAGTGACAGCCGAGTCACTCGAATTCGAATGACCTCTCACCCATTCCGCGCTCTGAATCGCTCAGTGAATATTTTCACTCGGAATGTATTCCACCGACACAGGAATTAATCATCAATCGATGAAAACTTTCATTCGTTCGGAATCAGAGTTCACTTGTGAACTTGAGTAAAACATCCGCTTTTGCGATTTTCATTGTCGCTCCGAGAGAATATTCACTCGTCTTGAATGAGATTTCACTTCAAGAAATTTAGAGATTGATGAGGTCGCATCGACATTAAAAGTCCCGATGTATGTCGTCAACTATGAAAGAAGGGAGATGAGAGAAAGAGCTTTTTCGAGGGAACGTGATAAACGTCGAAAATTTTTGAACGATGCTCTTTCCGAAAATAAAAATATCCCGTGGAAACCGATACATTGTGTGTTGCACAATATATCCCTCGCGTCGTGTATCTCTTCTCACTGATTAATGAGACTTTAGAAACTTCCCATCGCGACCTGTCGCGGCCTTGTCAGTTCTCTCCGCCGTTTACGAGTGCGCGTTTCACGGCAAACGCGACGAAAGCGTATAATAAATTGGCCGGTGGGATATTTTTGCAGGGATCGCCCTTGCCCCCATCTCCACCCTCGGTCGCTCTAATCGCGCGAGGAGTCCGATGTTTTCACAACGTGTATCGATTCACAGGGGTGGAAAGGAGAGCGAGGGTGAGAAGAAGGGCACGTCGTCTGTTCGTGCTGTGTCCAAAAAACACGTTTCCCGGCGCTGAGGAATCGCCATGTGTGCGGCAGCCACCCCGCATAAATATAACAATTAAAAAGAGAGTCCGGCCGAGTGCCGGAACGTCCCGCTACGGAGGGTGAGTTACCCCGCGGTAACCCCTCCAGGTCGAAGCACGCAAAACAGAAGGGCGCGATCGTCGCTGCGCGAACTTCCTTTGCCTCATCGAAAAATAACCGGCATACAAACCGTATTCACAATCTCTCGCTTTCCCAATTTCGCCCCGCGATTCCCGATCGAGCCGACCGCGGCCGTGGGAATCGCACGTGCTCTCCGCTCCTCCTTCTCGGAGCCAGGAAAGAGAGAGGATGAGTCGCGCGACCATGAGTGCAAATTTTGCTGTTTTCGTAAATATCAGTATGGAAGTTTGAGCGGAGTTTCCACCGATTCGTGCCGCCGTGTTCTAGCTGCGCCTATAGAAAGAGCCGCGCACAATCAGTTAAACCTCTCGATTAACGTTAAATAACGCCCATAGAAGCAGCCCGTAGTAATTTTAACCCCGTTTGCGCTCCGGTCTTATTTAACCTACCGCCGTATTATCATAATTATCGCGCTCTGAAAACGTGAACGGCCGCTTGTACGCGCGCCGTCAATAGTGCGTTTCTCGCAACGCGTCGCGACGGCTTGTCGATTGCGCGACGGTTGGGGAAAAAAAATATATTCCAGCGCGGAAAAGAGAGAAGAATGAGCGAGTGGGTGAGTGAGAGAGAGAGAGATAGAGACAGAAAAAGAGAGGAAGGCGAGAGGGAGACGAAGAGGGACACGGCGATCGGCGAGGGGCGTGTGGGCGACGAGAGAGTTAATTCACGAAAGCGCCGAGGCGAATTCAATTCGCGCGAGTTAGCGCGTGACGAAATCGCCGCTCGTCGCCTCGTTGCCGGCGACCTGGGTCATAACTATTTAAATGCCCGCGGCTGGATAAATTGTTGTATTAGTCACGCCAAGCTTATATTAATACACGGCCCTCTCTCTTCCGCCCTCCCCAACCCTCCGCGTCCTCCCTCCCTCCCTCCCAGCCCCGTTCCTGCATCACCCGTTTACTCGCGCTCGCGCGCTGCGAGTTCGCCAACCCGGTATTTCCAGTCCTTATGAAGCGCTGCCGCTTCTGCGTTTCGCCGATGTCCGCGAGTTCTATTACACGAGGAATCTATTTCTGCGCCGTTAATTGTAAACGCCGTAGACACCGCGGACTGCCAAGTGCGTCGCGAGCGGAGCGCCGTGGATACGCAGCGGCGATCCCCCGTGGTGGTGCGGGGAGTGTCGTTCGGTTTCGTTCGCGGGGTGAGATGTAACACGCAAAGAGAATAGGAAAGGAGGGGACAATTGTTGAATCGACATGACACGCGCAATGATATAATTGAGCGCGTTTTAGTTGAAGGAGGCGGAACTTCCGATTCTTAAGAAATTCTCAAAACGCGACTTCTTCAACCAAACCACGTCTCGTTGTGTCACTGTATCGTGTTGATTCAACCAATAATACTTAGAAATTGATTTCCGAAATTATAATGTTATAATATAAATGAGATTCGAGAAGCATGCGCGCAAAATAAGCACGGAGGTAAAAGAGACAAAGGAGGAGAAAATAAGAGACTGCGTGAGATGCACGCGCTGCGATCCATTAAGAAACAAAGAGCGGGAGGATCGTTTTCTGGAAGTGCGTCTTCGACGACGACGTGAAGTGAAGTTACATAAATCGCGTCGCCGACTCGGATTCTCGGGGCCTCGGTACGGTTATTACTCCCGACCTCGATTACGACAGACGCGCCTCGACGGGATCGGAAGACTCTCGGCTCTGCTTCGACATGGCGCGCAATCGCGCCGATCGCGACACGCCGTTGCGTTTTCTCTCCTGGACCGATTCGACGCGTCCTCGCGGGAGAAGAGCAGGGAGAAGAGGGGAGAGTAGGAGCGGGAAGGAGAAACATAGACAAACACACACACATACAAAGAGAGCGAGAGGGGGAGAGAGAGAGAGAAACGGCTGCCGATGGTGGTTATTTAGGCGATTACGCTCGCGAGCGACGTGCGCCGCGCGCGTTTGATCGCATCGTCGCGACAAATCGACATTGTGTCACTGCGCCTCGTTGCAGCAATAACGCATATAATATACGCGCGCGAGCGTTGCGCCGGTGCATACGGCGAACGCGCGCGAGTGAGCGAGCGGCATTACAGACCGCTGATGTAATACTTTTATGATCGGCCGCCGCAATTTCTCGGTGACAACACTCGCTATTTCTGTCGCCGAGTTTGTGCACATGACTGCCGCGACGAGCAATATATCGCGCAAATACGCGCGACTCTCGCGCCGGTATTTATACAGGGTGTCCGCCGGCTTCGCCTCACGAATCACGGACTGAGCGCGGTACGACCGGATTTCGGTGGAGCCGACCGTGCGAACGAACTACGAGAACTTATCTCCAAGTACAGAGGCGAAAAATGCCGAAGTGCGTCTCACTTTGAGATGGAAAACGATATGCACTTCTCGAAGGTTAAATTTCCGAATTCAAACAGACGTCGGAAAAAAAAAACAATTTTCACCATCAATACGCGAAAAAAAAACATGCTTAACCCACGTATAAATTCAATATTATGATATATTAAAAGTTATTTTAATTTAATTTAAAATCATCACTTTATTACTTAATCTTACATTTCCTTTCCTTCCTTCAACATGTGTTCCATTTTGCATATTCTTTTCTTTTTTGTAAAACACTTTTTAAAACATCTTATTTGTAATGAGAATATTCCCGTATATAAATAAATAAATATTGAACAATCAGATTTATGTGTGGGCCAACCATGCTGTTTCTCTTGTGCATGTGCGGGCATGAGGCAAAATTAACCCTTTCAGTGTTATCGCGTTTAAAGTTCACTTCGCTCCGACGAAGAATCGACCCGGAGAGTCAAGCTCGGGGGAAACGTTCAGAGGCACGTCAAAACTCGCAAAAATCGCCGCGTACGATATGCATCAACCGTCATCTTGCTGCGCGGCAGGAGGGAGTACGGATGGGGGAAGAAAGTCGACTTGAAATTCGCGACGCGCTCGTCCGTTGCGATATTGCCGAGAGAGACACCCTGTACAATATATCGAGCGCGCTCGTTTTATTTTCTATCTTTCTATTTTTTTTTCGCTCCCTCCGTCCGCGCGCATTGTTCGTCCGTGTAACGCGAGTCGTTTCTCGCTTTCAAAACGGAGCTTCCTTAAGCGGAGGAGAAAATCGAAGCGGCGATGAGGGGGTACGGGCCGCTCGCGCTCGTTACGTAGGTGGAATCAAGGCGAAACTTTCCGCATGAAATTGCAACGTGCGCCCGGCCGTGTAATGCCCGGTGGTACAACTCACCTGTACGTTACATGTCTTCGTACGCTGTCGATACCGCTCGCGGTAGAGGCTGCGCTTTTTCCATGCGGGGTGCATTGCTCTCGTCGAAGTCCATCTGCGCGTCGACGCTTCCTCCCCGCGGTCCTCCGGCCTGTCACGAAGGAGAGAGAGAGAAAGAAAAAGAGAGGGGGTGAAAAAAAGGATACGATTGAGAAAAGTGAGCGACGACGGACGGCTACGGCGGATCGGATCAGCCCGAGCGAATTAATGAGTAACTTGGGGAATTTCAAAACGCGATCGCCTTCTTAATGTCATTTAACAATTATTTCACTGGCCGTCCGCCGCGTCACGTTTATCATTGCTAACATTTTTGTTCCGTTTATTTTTTCTCTTCCGTCAAGAAAATACATGCCGGATTCTTAGAAAAAATTCTAATAAATAATAAGCACGGGTAAAAATAATTTGCTGCAGCAGCAAACTAATTTGCTACATATTGACAGTTAAATATAATTCGCTGTGTTAACTACTTTTTCTTTGCTGCAAGAACCTATTTTCTTGCTATGATAACAAAAAAATCTGCTCCTACGATAAGAAAAGTAACTAACGTAGCAAATTTGCTATAGATGCACAACTAAACATAATTTACTGCTTTAGCTACTTTTTGTGTTGCAGGAGTAGATTTTCTTATTATCATAGCAAAAAAATCCCGTAGCAAAGAAAAAGTGGCTAATGCAGCAAATTATGTTTAGTTGTCCATATGTAGCAGATCTTTTTTTCCATGAGGATATACTTATCGCAATAATCCCCGGCGCGAGGATAATCGTGTTTTCTTGACAAGAGAGAAACAGGACATCAAAGACGTTAGTACATCTTTGATCGATCATTTGTTTAATTTCACCTGGCTCTTGGTGCAGAATTCTCATCTATGGCTGAACGTACTAAGGTATACGCACGTACAGCCACGTAAAATACGACCAGGATTGATTTCCCCAACTACTTAGTAAGTTAACAACAGTCAAATCACATGTCTGTCTTTGTTTATCCTTCAAATTAGGCAAAGACAAACGTGCGATTTAATTTGAATTGAGTTGGTTCACCAAAGGTTGGAAAAATCAGTCCTGAAGTGGCTCCCACTTGTGCATACAAAGCCACTCTCGGACACGTTAATCCGCAGAAATACGTCGCCGCGGTGGCGAAGATTGCGCGGGCGGTGAAGTAAGAGAGCGATTTATCGGTCGGTCGACTTTTACCACCCGACTTTTCCCGTCCCGGACGAAGGGCTGGGTGATCTCGCGCCTCGCTGCTCGTGTCTTCGTGGCACCCACGCGCGATACAACACCGACCGTGTCTTTTGCGGTAGGCGTGTGTGATAGCGGAGCCTGTGTTCTCCTTTTCTCTGCAGACTATGATAAAACGCGCGTTTCGCTGGCGCGTGCGTTCTATAATAAAATAATCCGAGGGAGTGGAGACCACACAATATCTTTGCTTCCCACCTTCATGTCGCACGTGGCGAAAAATTAGTCGAATTAATGTGATAACAACGCAATTAAATGTGTTGTCCTTGAAAGAAACAAAAAATCTTTGGTTCTTAAGGATCGAATTTGATTCAGAAAGGCCAGGAATTCTACTTTTTCAACCAAAACACGTTTCATCTTGGCTCTTAAGAACCGAATTTGATTCAGGAGGGCCAGAAATTCTGTTTCCTTCAATCAAAACATGTCTAATTCTGGCTCTTTTTAAGACTTGAATTGGTTTAGAAGGAGCACGAATTCTGTTTGCTTCAACTAAAACGAGTTTAGTTACGTCATTGTTATGTCAATTTAATCAATCTTTTTTTCCGCGTATATATATATATATATATATATATATATATATATATATATATATATATATTCCCATTTTCTCTTTTATTTTTTTTATTATACCGTGTGCTTAAAAGATAAATCTTCAGCGATTGATATACCGCGAGCGTGCGTCTTCGACGGTCCGCGTGCGGCTCGCGACTGACATGTCCGGTCGAGAAGCAGGAGACGAAGAAGGAACAGAATGACGGAAGGAAGGAAGAAAGGAAAGGAAAGTGGTGCGACGCGGAAGAGCCGAGCGGGGACAGGCAACGGTTACAGCAGAATAAACCCCTCAATAATGAGTTCCGCGAGTGAATTCCCTCGATGTGGAGTGCGAGAGAGAGAAAGAGAGAGAGAAAGAAAGAGGCTCGAGATAATAAAACAGAACGGGGCGCGCCGGTGGTAGTAGCGGTCGCGAAGGGGTCAGGGGGACGGCAACGGCGGCGGCGAGTGGGTGGACGAAGGGGTTAGGGGGAGAGGGAAACCCGAGAGAGGCAGAGGGAGGTTTCCGCACCGGCAAGAGTAATAGTAAGAGGCAATAAAATATAATGAAATAACATCCAATCCAGGAGAGATATTGTGAAAATATTATTACTAACTTATTACTCGTTGGGCACGGCGTACCACGCTCTCGACCTTTTTCTCCATTTTTCTCTGCCTTTCTCTCTTTCCTCCTTGCCTCCCTTTTCCTCCACCTTTTCCGCCTTCCTACCGCGCCACCCTCGCCCGGTCTTTCTCCGGTTTCCGTCCCCCGTCTCCTCTCGCCCTCGACAAACATATACAGGCTGCGCCTGAAAAGGTGGGAATCGATAGTGTTATTTGCGAAGGATTGTTCCTTGGTGAAGGAAGAGCGGACAGAGGAGGAAGAGGAAAGGAAAAGGTGGAACCATCCGATTGCCAATGCTGAGTATCCCGCCAATTAACGAGAGACATCGAATCCTTCTGTCCCGTAAACGCGGTGAATCCAAGTGTGCGCGACTCCCTTCGCGTATGCTCGCGCACTTAACGCGCGAGAAAGATCCAACTTACGCCACAGTCAGGTGAGATTCGACGTGCAAACCGGCGGCGCGGCTTGAATCGCGCTTTAATTCTCACGTGTGTTCTCGCGTTAAATATTACACGACGAAACAATACGATCCCGATAATTGAGCGAGAACAATGAGAGGAATGAAATTGTGATAATACAGCAACAGAGAGCGGTTCCCGTGGCGCCCCTTCTCTCACTCCCTCCAGCCGAAGTGCGAAGGAACGTTCATTCATCTTGTCGCTGTAAAAACTGTCGCGGAGAGCTGACATAAAAAATATTTCTTGACGGTCGTTCCTGTTTTGTCTGAAAATCAGCTTGTCGCGCTCTCGCAAATTCGGTCCTGGCCGTTTTCACTGAAAATTCCCACTCTCTTTTTAAGAGAACGGCCGACACGCACCCGCGGCCCGTCATCTTCCCGCGCTCGCCACACGATCGCGGAGACACGATAAAATTTTTTCTCTTTCGTCGCTCTTCGTCGAGGGTGCAATAAAAATCGCTTGCTCGCGACAGATGGCGACGTTGGCGGCGGTTTCCTGTGCTCGCTTCGACGGCAATCACGCGGCGAAGGATTCGTCCTTGCGAAAATAAAACAGAACAAAAAGAAATGGAAAAGGAAAACACGCGAACGCCGCGGACGCCGAGACTCCGCGGCAGAGTCGTGGAGTCGCAGATTTCCGCGGCTCGTTATTTTAAATTAGCGAGCGCGCTCCGTACTTTAAATTATATCAGGACTGGATCTGGAAAATTCTTCTCCGCCGGAAATTCCTCGGCCGCCGAGACGTTAAAAATTAAATATCCGACGAGAGCGAGTTTCATTACAATAATTTTATTATAATAATAATCATTTACGTTCTCATCTCCCTGTCTCTTCCTCCCCTACTTCGTGTCTCTCTGTCTCTCTCCCTTTCGCTGCTTTCTTACGTGCGCGCGCGGTGGAATTTACCGTATTTTCGCCGAGGGAAGAGAAGAAAAATCAGGAAACGTCCATCGTTATCTCGTAAAATTAATTGTAAGGCCGCGCGACCTCTCGTCCTCCGCGGCCACGGCGACGACGAGGAACAACCGTGGCGGAGTGCCGCGCGATCCACCGCATCCCGCACGCGCACGTTGTTGCTGTCCCGCACTCCGCACCTACGGCTGCTAGTCTAATCGGCCGGCATCGCCGTCGAAATTATTCCCTTTTAGCGTTGTTAGCCGGTACGCTCGCGATTCGCGATCGATCCCCGTTCCGTCCGGCTCTCCCTCTCTCTCTCTCTCTCTCTCTCTCTCTCTCCCGCATTTGAAATGCAAAGTGCGCGACCGAGCATTATCTTCCAGGAAAGACCGGCGAATGAACGGCAAAAGGAAAAAATCGAGGGAGGGAGAGAGGGAGAGAGAGAGAGAGAGAGAGAGAGAGAGAGAAGCAGAGAAGAAGAAGAAACGGGGAAAAAGAGGCAAACAGAAAAGATTATCGTGGAGCGAGATATCCGGAGGAGAACGCGCGCGGTGACGAAAGATGGTTATATAAAACGCGCGGAGCAGGAGAAGGAGGAGGGAAGGTGGCGGCATGCAACAATCCTATCTGACCGTGTAAATCTCCGGGCGTCGTAACGAAGCGGCAAATCGAAACTAAACGGTAGCCCATGAATGGGAAATCAGAAAATAACGTTACGCCGCGGTGCGAGGCCGCGCGCGCGCGCGCGCGCGCGCTTCCGGCCGGGACACCCTGTGTGTACACACGGGAAAGCGAGCGAACGGTCGCGAACGGAGCAGCCGCGCGCGCGCGTGCTGTTTGCGTGCGTGCGAGTCGTCTCACGCATCCGAGCTGCCGTAATGCACATTATTATCTCGTAAGCGAGATCTGGTTACGGAGTCCTTTTATTAAGGATTTAATTGATCGACGACGCTTAAAACGCGCGCGCGCACTGTCTCTGTCCGCGCGTTTTCGCTTGCTTCGCGGCCTCCCTCTTCCCCGTCCTCCTCCCCGCGTCGCCCCTCTATCCTGTACTCTCCTTTTTGGCCTGTCCGCTGAATAAACTTCTCTCTCTTTCTCTTTCTCCATCCCCGCGTTCCCTCCCCCTTCCCTTAATAATAAAATTCATCCTGTTCTCTCTTTTTCCGTTCTCTCTCTCTCTCTCTCTCTCTCTCTCTCTCTCTCTCTCTCTCT